TCACCATCCCATACACATCCTTCGTTATGTCTAAGTTAGAAAACTATACACAGGGGGCTAATCCTTGTCTGAAAGGTGACTCAGACCCTCTAGAAAGAGTTCAGAAGGCAGCCACTTGTATGATTCTTGCGATCGCTGGTCTCACCTATGAAGACCGACTTAAGGAGCTGAAACCCTTCACTTTGTCTTATCGCAGACAGAGGGCAGACCTGATCATGCCATACAGGATTCTAAGAAATGACTTCGAACCTGATCTATCTTCTCTTTTCCTTCACACTAGTCGGAACACCTCAGAGGACATAGTGGGAGACCAAAACAGCAAAGGACAAACACAGTCTCCGCAGAGTACTGGTTCTCGCGTCCAGCAATCAACACCTGGAACCGACTTCAAGAAGAAGTGGTGTCCGCATCATCAATTGACCCGTTCGAAAGGGACTGGACACGCACATTACTCTACTGGGAAAAGATTAATATAGGCTCCCAGCCTCCTATCCTCAAAAAGCAAATCTGAATGTGTGATATAATATCTTTCAAATTAAAGGAAGCAACGAAGTGCTTTCTGGAGATGTCTAGTGTTCAGGGAAACCTTAGATATTCGAAGAAGTCAAGATTTAGGTCGCATGGCATTTTTCGAGGTAATGATTTACAAAAAGCCTCAAGTCGGCATTTAATCATGTTCAATGAAACTTTTGTTTGGAGTGATCAAAGTCTGATGCAACTAGTTACTGAGCTTTTTCTGCCAAGTATCAGATAGTAGGTAGTTTTGTGGATTGTATTTGTAGATTTCTGTTGCTTAAGACTCATAATATTATCTTCACCTTTGTATATGATATAGCTTAGGTAAGAAATAATTAGGGCTGACACTTGTGTTCCAATATTTTTATAGACAAAGAGTCTGAAATATGCATATAGGATATGTTTCTTTTGACTTCCAGAAGGTTAAATTTCGGTGACTATCAACGTAGCAACCGATGGAACAAAACTTGATGAAAAGAACACAGCCTCCAGACCAAGAGGAGGAGTTGTATTTACTGTTCACTTCGTACAGTCACCCAAAACATTTTGATTGTATAGTCAGTGAAGATACATGCAGAATAATTTAGCTTTAAATAATAGAGAGAAAGAAGTGTTGAAACCTGCTGCCAGGTCAACGGAAATCATGCAACGCGAGGTTGAGCTATAAGGAGAGGGAGGTAACGTTAAATATATGTTAAGTAGACGCGAACTAAAGAAAGAGTGTAAAGTTGGGACTCTATATTCACTATTACCTTGTCTGTCTCTCTTTTTTCGCTATGCAGGGAGACATGTCCGCACACTTTTTATACAATTCCTCTAAGAAAATACTGGGAAGTGTTTAGCTTCTTTTGATAAGAGGCTTTAGTTTAGACTAATGTCTTTGCATTTTACCCTGTAGGTTATGTCTGACATTTATGAGCGTAATTCGGAACCATTGTGTAAATAAATTACATTCCCTAAACTAAGACAGTCGGGGCAAGGAAAGCAGATAGTTTTCGGAAAGTGAGACTTTGGTAGTCAGTATTCTACATTTATGGCTTATATATTTTTCAAAGTGAGTCAATTTTGTATATCTAGTTAAGAACCAAATATATGTCAAATTCAGATAAGCATACCTAAGAATATTGTTATTGTCCAGTTTTTGTCTGGTTGCTCTCAAGAATTCTATTTCAAAGGAATAAAAAGGGTAATGAAACTAGAACTTGCAGATATTTTACTCACTCGATAATTATGAACTTTCTAATATTCTAACATGTTGCTGTTATACAATCATGCCATGCTTGGGAGATCCGGTGGGTGATTCAGATTTCAAATTCGTGTTTGAGGATAGGAGGCTGGGAGCCTATATTAATCTTTTCCCAGTAGAGTAATGTGCGTGTCCAGTCCCCTTTCGAACGGGTCAATTGATGATGCGGACACCACTTCTTCTTGAAGTCGGTTCCAGGTGTTGATTGCTGGACGCGAGAACCAGTACTCTGCGGAGACTGTGTTTGTCCTTTGCTGTTTTGGTCTCCCACTATGTCCTCTGAGGTGTTCCGACCTAGTGTGAAGGAAAAGAGAAGATAGATCAGGTCCGAAGTCATTTCTTAGAATCCTGTATGGCATGATCAGGTCTGCCCTCTGTCTGCGATAAGACAAAGTGAAGGGTTTCAGCTCCTTAAGTCGGTCTTCATAGGTGAGACCAGCGATCGCAAGAATCATACAAGTGGCTGCCTTCTGAACTCTTTCTAGAGGGTCTGAGTCACCTTTCAGACAAGGATTAGCCCCCTGTGTATAGTTTTCTAACTTAGACATAACGAAGGATGTGTATGGGATGGTGAACATGTCACCACTTATTTTCCTAAACGTTCTACGTAATGCCCAGAGAGTCCGAAAATTCCGAGCTGCTACCAATCGACAGTGAGCCGTGATTTTCAAGTGACGTGGGTATACTCAACGTTCCATTGAACCAAAATGTAAGCTTACACTTTGCAGGTAAACACTTGTCAGTATTTTGAAGACAGTTGTCTCGAATGGTAGTTTTACTGTAAATACTAAGACTGTTAGGTTTGCCAGCCATATTTTGTTGTTTAAGATGGAAAACAAACAAAATCCGACTTAAGTGTGGGTTGTATAAATTCGGGTTTTGCCTCAATGTCAAACCATAATTCTTGACCGTCTTATTCAGTTCTATGTTATTATTAATCCCCTCTGATTAGAGTATGGTGAAAAGTCAGGATGTGTGTTCTAGCGCTGGCTGTTTTCTGCTTCTTGACTCACCTCTTCATAGGTAAGCTTCAAATGCCTAATTCTAATATTTTAAACTTGGTACGTAGATCCTTACGGCTAATTGTAGCTCTTTACTTTTGATGTATACCGCACGTAATGGTTCACACTGTAATTATTGTCATAAATTTCATTTTCTGTCAGAATAAATGTTAGCAAACTTGGCATTATTTCACTCATAAAATAAAAAAAATGTAAGAACTTCTTAAGCTCTACCCGGCCGAAAATCACCAAATAACCTACTCTACTCGTTGATCACATCAACAACAGCGTTTTCGGTACTATTCAGCAGTGTCTAAGTAGCCAACTACGGCATAATAATGCTTCAAATATTTAAAACTGTTCCTGAGTCATTAGAAGAATACGAGGTTAAATCGGTAACTATGCGAAAGCTTGTTACAAAATTGTTGAGTGTCTAAGAAATAAATAGTAACAATTTTATTGTAAAAGGTAACGTCATATAAGAGTACAAAGAAGTTAACACTATTCATGAAAAATGCCATCACTTTCTTTTCACTACAAAATGATATAATAATGCAAACTGATCCAAGCAAAATTGATAATATCAATATACATAGATTTATGTTTTGGTAGATTCTTTTAATTATTCCACTCCTTCGTGCGATATGTAGGTTATCCAAAGTGCGAGAGGAATATGCTCTTGGTTGTGGAAAAAACGTTTTGAGAGAGAAATTAAAACTTTCTATGCTCTTTGTGTCATCAAAGTAAAGAGAATTAAAATTAGTTTCTCAGTTACTTAGCTAAAATGTATGGTATCTGAAAAAGCCTTTTTGTTTTTTACAGCGATAAATAATGCTTCAAAGAACAATATGTAAAATAGTCAGCAAAAAAGCTTTTGTATATTTATGATGATAAATGTGACTGCACTGTATTTTTATGCAATTTACAAGCTAAATACGTTTTTGATGCTGATTGGAAATATGTTTATTCTTTGAGTGTGACGGATTTGACGGGTAACTGTCTTCAGGTATCCAAATAGGTTCGACCAACTGCTCACTTTGATAAACATAAGTATTCACAAACATGTAGATTCTTGACACGTATTTTTTCAATCTGTATTGATATTTTTTATACGCATGTGTTTTGCCGATTACAAAATCCTATATTCATTCTGTCATTCGTTTTTTCTGGAGTTTTGGTTTGAATTTGTTTCCTCGTTATTACTGATTTCCTGCAGTTTTCAGTGAGCTACAAGGTTTAGTGTGTCTTGCAGATAAAAGTAGCACTTAGAAATATACTTTTAAAAGTTATGAGGATTCAGCTTTTTTGCCAGTCACTGAATGATGATATAGTATCAAAACTTGAAGGAAATGTCAAGTCGGAGTTTTGGAACAGGCACATCACACCGGTTTCTCGTTTTTGTGCCTAAATTTCGTGTTTTTTGATTTTTTTTTATGCGATTCATTTTCTTTTTGATTCGTTGATAACTATCAACAACTTTGTCCATGAATAGTGTGTTTTTAAATCCAATAAATTTTAATCTTCGTAATACTATCATAAATACCGCGAAATATACCTACAATGCCGTCATTATGGTGTCAGCTAGGACCTAATGAAGACTTTATAAAGTTTAAGTAGTAAGTGATCAGATAAAACAGTGTATAATCCTATCGGTTTCATATATACTTGAATTTAGCTAGATGGTTTGGCGTTTCATTAACGACCAAAGTAGTCTTATTGAGATGACTGAAGGGAAGGGGTTGTAAGACAGTTTTCAGCTAATTACTGGTTTGTTGTTCTAGATATATGAAACTGCTATAATTTCACAATATTTTGAAGCTGAAATATCCCAGAGGATGTTGTAGGAAGTTAAAACGTGGTCCACTCTAGCGAAATGCAGAATTGAGTATTAATGTTTTAACTGGAAAATAGAGACGAACTGAAAAACAAGTAAATAAGTTGAAACGCTTGGATAGTGTATCATAACGTACCAATATTTGAAAGAGCAACTTGAAATTTGGATAAAATGCTTGTGTTTTTATGGAGATCTTTTTTATTTAACTGAAAACTTACTCTCAACTGGTTGAAAATTCTCAAGTTTTGAGTTTATTAACCTCCACAAAGCCTAGACGTAGTTCTTACGCTTTATATTGCTAGCTTAGCACTATATTCATGATTATTGAGGAAACGCTTTGAAAACTCGATAAAAAACCTACATTTTTGTTGAAAACGAACGTAGCCATTTAACATTGTTTATTTCGGATCGTAAAGCAAAAGGTATGATTTTTCTGAAGGGGTGAGTATTTTTAAGTCCCTGTGGTTAGTATGTGATGAATTTCTCTTCTAGATTTACTTTACGTGATTCGTAGTGGAGGTATTCAGTTCTAAACTTCGGCCAATGATATAATTTCTAGCATACTTATAAATTTGCACTTAGTAACTATGTTCATTTTATTTTGTACTGTTTTAGTTTCTAAAGGAAAATGTTTTTCTTGCCGGTCTCCATATTGCTATTTCTAAGTTCGTGTCATTGTGATGAACATAGTTTTCAACCAGCTAATCCAAAGCGTTCATTTACTGTAAACCAAGTAAACCATGTTTTTATGAAAGATGGTGCACCCTTCCAATATGTTTCTGGAAGCATACACTACTCTCGAATCCCAAAAGCTTACTGGGGTGATCGACTTTATAAGATGAAGGCTGCTGGACTGGATGCTATTCAGATGTAAGGACTAGTTTTTTGACAGCAGTGTATTGGATTTTCATTTGGGTTATGATCTGAATCAAAGGCTATTGCTGAGCAGCCTGTGCAGATGTGTTTAAATGTATATGTTAATAAGGCTGATTTTGAAAAGCATATTCCAGATTTAAAACATTCGCAACTTACAATGTATCCCCTGGTCATCAGAGCAACTTCAAATCTTTTGCCATAAGTCTGTGTTTATAATTATTCTATATACGTGTCAAAACGATATTTCGGTTTTTGCTGAGTTTCAGGCATATTTGGTTACAATTATTTTGTTGATACTTATAATCCCGCATTGTTATACTGGGTCGAATTGATCGACCTCCGTTAACATATAGGTTCCTACGCAGATGCCTCTATATTACCTGAATATTTTTTTATGATAATTGGTTTGATTGCGGCTAGCAGAGGAATTCAGGAAGCACATTTCGTCCTGTTTGGGACTCATCAGCGGGAAGAAACACACAAACAAGTCAATTATATTTGGTTACAGTTGAGACCAATTCACATCCCCAACACCACAGTCGAGTATGGTAATAAACAATATTGGGGAAGAAAAGATGGAAGAAACAACAGCAGCGTGGTAAGAAATAAACTCGATCTTTGCTACAGAATTGATTCAGAGGCAAGTTGGATAGCTTCTCATGTACTAACGGATAATTTAACCAGTCAACTGAGAATGCTGTCCTTACTGCATATTGGTGGTTACTATCTAAATGAACTGATAGCATTTTTAGCGTAGGCTTATGACAGCTATCCTTATCATATTTTTACTTGAATAAGCATAAAATATTGAAGTAATTGTACCTTCAATACGCTGAAATGGAGGTTCACGATTGGATAGTTATCGTTATTAACGCTTTAGTCTTAGATTTAACAATTGATTCGGCAGAAGTATATGTAGTTGAGTACTCATGAGATTATTTTCACCTATTTTCAGGATATTTTGCGAGGAAAATACTTTTGTCTTTTAAATCTGAAATATTGGCTTTGTTTGTTGTGCATTTTAACGCTAACATTATAATACTGTCAAATTTTTTGAAGTCTCGTAATAGCTGTTTTATGCTTCTTGATATCTTTGTATAATAACAAAACTTTGAAAACTTGATCAATCATTTTATAAAAGTGTATTTTAAGACAGGCTTTTTCCATCAATCTGTACACAAAAAAATTGTTAAGTTACTTCTTGATTCGATGTATTAGGTCTGTGACTTAGGGCATTGAGTACTTTGTTGATTTGAATTGAATCTATGGAATAGCTAACAGAATTATTGCTTCAGTCATTTATTGATTCTAAAGAAAAGTGGCTTACCAAGAAGATACACAATATTTCAACACCGAAAGCTCCATCACTATTTATGTCTTTCATTTTGCTTTCTGTTGTCTGTTTAAGATATTTCATAATGTTTAAGGTGTGCAATTATTCACTGAATTACTTGAATTTTTCCAGTTATGTTCCGTGGAATTTCCATCAGCCTGAAGAAGGAGTATTCGACTTTACTGGTGATCGGAATCTGACAGACTTTTTAAATTTAGCTTTGTCGTTAGATTTACTAGTAATTGCTAGAGTTGGACCGTACATATGTGCTGAATGGGACTTCGTAAGTTATAAACATTATGCGTCGTATTTGTATTATTTCTTTGCGTACTAAATATTGATCTCTTGTTTTGTTCAGGGTGGACTACCAGCATGGCTTCTTCGGCTAAATCCACTTATGCGGTTACGTTCCAGTGATCCAGGTAATTCTATATATACATATAAGTATATGCTATACAGTTGGGAGCCTCGGCTACAATGAAGCAAATATCAGACAGATACATTGAAAGAACCTGTGCTTGTACCCTTTTGTTTTCCGATATGCAAATGAAGATATTTCTTACATGTCAGGATCTTTGTAGAGTGTTGGCTCTTGGCAGTCTGACAGAAAGTGCAGATTTACCATGTACATTTAATGGCTAGTGAAATCGTGTAGTGACTCAGTGGAGTGTCCTGTGAATACCTAACTCGCTATAGTGAGCATATTTTACAAGTTAACTAGGATTTCGCATAAATTGAACCAACTTTCTTCACCGAGTTAAATAAGCTTTTTCGGCAATAATAGTACTATTTCTTACTCGTCTCTTAAGTCAACAACAAGAATAAATCATCTTTTCTCTTATTCAGGTCAAACAGACAGACGAAACGATAGAAGATGGTGCATAGCTGCATATCACCTTAATCTGTTGTAATTTCAGGATCACTAAATTGAAACTAAGGAAAATAAAAAACGATCTTGCTATTGAAAGATAATTGAAAGTGAAATGAAAACATGGGTCGCGAGAGAGTTTGAATCAGCAGCCGCCTGATTACCCACTCGACGCTCTAATAATTGAGTTGAGAGACATGGTCTCTTGCTAAGTCTTAATTTCACTTAGGTCACCGCGGGTTTTACCTGGCTGCCATGTGGGCGCGTAACACGTCACATTCCGTTCATCGTTATCACATTGACTGCCCAGGCATCCAATCCAAATCGAGCTGATTTAGAGAGTGGGGAATTCGTATTAATAATTAGTGAGACTCCATAAGACTATCTAAGGAAACCTGATTGAGCAGCCAGTATACGATGGACGTACTTTGACTTATCACATATTCACATAGTGGCCTGGTAAACAATCTCGAAGGCGGAAGTAAAATCAAAGCCTAGTCAACAGACGGGTCTCGCTGCTTATTTTTAGGACAGCAGGCTGATAACACAGAGGTTTCTGTTTCTAATCCTGCCACGACCTATGTTTTTATTTCACTTCAGTCGTCGCCCAGGTTTAATAATACTAGTCTGCCAGATCACGGCCATTTCAGATAGTTTCATTCATAAAAAAGTATTAGTAATAAAAACAGAAGTGCGATTAGTGGACAAGGGGCATGTAAGTCTAGAGAAATATGATTATTTGAACTCATAGAAATGCTAAGATTTAGCTTTTATAGTGGTAGTATTATCTATTTGAGTTTATGTTGCTCACTTATCGACCACGAGTTTCTAACTTTACGGCGGTCCTGGCCAGAAAGCTAACACTAATACATACAGCAAAGACTAATAGACACATATTTCAAAGGCTAGCAATATGACCAAAACAGGTTACTACCTGCTGTTTTCCAACCTGATTACTGTACCTGCAAGTGTCTACTCAACTACTATACACTTTACGCTTAACTGAATTAACAAGTTTTCTAGTCAGAAGGCGAAACTAGTTTATATATATATATATATATATATATGGCATTTGCAAATGTTTTGATAATATTTATTTATAATAAGGTATATATCATTATGTTTTAGTCAATTTCATCTACATATTTACAGATAAAAATAACCGGGATATTTTATTTTTGGAACACTTTATTTTACAGACTATATGCAATTTGTGAGACGCTGGTTTAGTGTGCTTTTACCAAGTATTAAACCATTACTTTATGAGAACGGCGGACCAATAATTATGGTGCAGGTAAATCATAACTTTGCGTTAATCTGTCATCATTGTTTTAAATAATATCTAAGGTGATTATGTATAGTGACATATGTAGTTGATTAGTGTCCCAGTGAAGATTAAACAATAATGGTGAAAGTGATAATCACTAACAATAGTGAACTTTCATCACCTTCCTGCAGTTGAGTGATGAATATCTGTGAAATCAAATAGTGAAAGTAGTTAATCGATGATTAAGCTCAGTTCACTAAACAGTTGATGAGCGTAGGACCGTAGTTGTGTCAATTATTAAGAATGGTATAAATCGTTTTAGAAATATGAGAATTTCACACTAGTTAGAGAGTTAATTTGAAGCTTTTCGAGGAAATACGAACAGATTAAATCAGCTGTCTGTTGTGAAGAACATATTTAAACTTCTTGCTTACTTTTTGACATTAGCAGTATTGAGAATAATGGTTCAATATCAAGTGCGATGAAAGTCTTCTGTTAAAAAGCTTCCTTTCTCTTTCTGTGCCTTAGTTCTACCTAACATAATTCCTCAAAAGTTATTTATTGCACCTAATTTAATGATGATAACTTCCCTAAATTAAGATATACTCTTTATGCCATAAATGATAATCATTTCACTTTTTATTTTAAAAAGACTGAAATACATATGGAACTGTTGTTAATGTGTTAGACTATATACGTAAGGAATTGACTGCCCACTTCATCTTTCATGAGACTGTATGAATGACACCTCGTTACAACAGACAGCTGGTGCTTATGAACTACAAAACCATCTGTGCATATATTTTAGCCTTGCATTCTAAGCTGAGTTGACATATATCGTCTAGATTTTATACATGGTATTGATAGTAATATTACAAGAAAAACTTTTCAGTTTTAAAATGGTTACCGCAAATGGTAAGAGATTTTCTTTAGAGTCTGTGCTACAGAAGTGAAATGATAGTAAGTTGTAAGATATTTCATCATGCTTTTTTAACATGAATATTTTAAGGTTTTAACCTCACAAATTCTAATTCAAAGCTTGATTGAAATTATATATTGCACCTTTCAAAATCATAACTTTAATGACTCGGATAAAATCTTCATTCTCATCTACGCAAAATCTGTTCTTAGTTAGTCATTTGCCGACAGATAAAAAGATTGTTATTCACACATGAAAAAGAAACAGAAAAAACTATTTCGTTAAGTAATAAATAATCTCAACACTGGTTTCCCCACAGTCGTAGTGCTGAAAAGTACAGTGAAACACTTGTCCCAGACTAATGGAGTATTTTAATATCACAATGTATATTTTTAGGCTTATAACATACAGTTAAATACGTCATAAAAAGGAAGTATCCAAAGCCGTCATGACTAACATCATCAAGGTTAAAATGATAACATGTGCTCATACCATTTGGTATTCATGTAGTTTTTAACCTAACCATAGAACACAGTAAAATCCCCTCTGGCATCTTACGGGAAAATGACGGAGCCAAGCCACTACAGCTGTTTAGGTGATTTGGCACGTGTTTACATATACATAAACTTTGGTTTGAACCAACTGTGGCTCATAACCTAGTAAGGAAAATTGTACTGGGTAAAAACAGTCACGCCGTTTTCATTATGTACAAAAGCATGTTTTTTTGTCATTTTCTACTCATCTCTAACACTAGAACATTGATAATTTTGCCAACAACAATACGATATTCATTTATACCAGTATCAGTCCTCGAATTACTCAAATTTCTGGACGGTCATAATGGCAACGAAAATCTGGACAGACAGTAAAATCCAGGAGATTAGCTCATCTATTAATTTTAAAGTGAACATATTCACAATAACGGTATGCAACAGACTTCTCTAGTACTTCATCTAACAGTGAATATACCTCCTTGATAATGGTGCATATCTTAACGTGAACAATATGGAAAACACATTGCCATTGGTCCGCAGTTTTTTCAAATGTTTATTCCTTTGCACCACAATATCTAATTCTGATGGCGTAAATCTGTATTGCTGTGAATGGTAACACTTGAACAGATATTCAGTTGGATTACATAATTATTTGGAAACTTACAGATTCTCGAAATCGGTAAAATAGACGTTTATCTAGCGTAACGGGGGATTGCGAAGACAAATCAAACATGTCGACTGATTGCAACGGATATCTTTAATTTTGTGCCACGTTGGTGCAACTAATGGTGAAAATAGAAAGTATGAGTGAAAACGACCTAAACTTTAACACTCTGCATATGCTGAAAAGTGGTATTTTCTTGGTTATTTCATAGCTTGTGTAATATTCTGATGCGTTTGATCGAATTTAATGACCTACCTTTCGTACCATTCAGATCCCGCAAAATCTTGTACATTTTCCAACATATATCAATGTGATGATGCCTGTAAACTGGCTTCTATCATGTTAAATTAATATTATGAGAATAAAATATTTATTCATTTATTATTTAAATCTATGTATCCTTAGCTGGAAAACGAATATGGTTCGTATTCAGCATGTGACCAGACTTACATAACGGAGCTATACGATTTAACCCGTTCACTTTTGGGCGAAAATATTTTAATTTTCACCACGGATGGTGCTGACCTGGGACTTTTGAAATGTGGATCACCTGATAAACGATATCTGGCAACAATCGACTTTGGTCCTAGTATGTTTTATTTTTTTTTGGTATGCAAATAATGTTTTGAGCTGTCTCCTAATCATACTATGTCGCAAAACTATTTATCACAGTTGGCAGCGTCTGACTTTCTTATCGATTTGAAAATAGGTTTTCTTCATAGAATTAGCATCGGTAGGAAAACCATTGGAAATTTGGGAGTCCTAGGCACCGGTTTTGTCCTAGTTTGAGACTCCTCTGTAAAGCAGATCCAGAACCCTTCAAACACTGTCTTGTAACTGAACTTTCACTGTAACACTTTAGCGACTAGCAACAGGATCCGAAAAGTGTATTTCATTTTGCTTAGGGATCTGTCTGCTTAGTGTATCTAGTGTTCTGGTATTATCGGTCAAACATACAGCTACTAAAACGCCGTGAAAACATGCCTGGTTCTGCTGATTGTGATAAATGCTATAACAGTGTTCTGGCTACAATTTATAAAAATAAGACAGTGTTTCTTTGGTGCAAGATTTAACAACATAGGTATTTGTTATTCATTTTCTGTGTGGTTTTTTAACTTCCTCGTGATAATAACCTAATTGGGAAACAGCTTAGACAATCGCTTTGTTTCACGTTTTCTTTAATCTCACTTCTAGAATCTTTTATGCGATTGGTGTCGGTAATTGCTCGTGACTTAGTATTGAGAATCACATTTGTAGAAATTAAAAAGTTCTGAGTTCTGTCAGCGTCACTTTTATTTTTTGTTGATAAGTTTCCCCTACTTTTACAAGGTATTCATTTCAAAAGTAGGATGTGTGTATTTGGAAATTCTGTGTATGGTCAAAATATCAAAAATAAGTAACATAGGGGATTTCTCCATCAAGTGTATGTATTTTGTGTAATAATGATGTTAATCATCACTTTATTCCTGATGATAAATTTTGATGCAGTATGGAATTTTCAGTGTGATGTATCAGAAAATTTACTCTTTGTACACTATTTTTAAACTAAATAATCATGGCAATAACCGTATGATAAGCAATAATACTCTATAACCAATTGTTTTTAGGTTATCGTTTAGTTTATGAGTACATTATTACACGGGAGGGGAGGGGGTGAATAGAAAAGCACCTGTTCTTTCAGCCAGTACGAACATCCTCAACTCTTGGTTGCTATTCCCGTGTGATGATCTGATGTGCGCTCAAGGACCCACCTTCATCTAAAGGTTTATTTTCTCGTATTTTTGTTACTAGCCTGTATGACAATAGGTTGAAGACATTTTAAGAATGAGAGTACGTTTTACGATTGGTTGGTTTTTGAATGTTTGAAACAAGTAAAAAAGAAGCAATCCTATGTAATGTATCCCGTAAAAAATATTTGCTAGCCCAAATTTCTAAGTAGACATTCGTTTTTGTACGATTGTATTGTTAGACAAGTGACGACTGTCCTCTTTGTTATAATAAAGAGAAAATTATGACCGGTGAACTTTGTTTCATATTTTACAGAACAAAATTAAACTTAGGTACACCTTCCTAATTTTTAGAAAGATGTATGAGACTTAAGTTGTTCGGAAATGAGAAAATGTTGTCCCTGTAAAATATACCCAGATATTCGTAAAACATCTTTTCTTTGAAATCTGTCTTCTCAACAAACTATTACTAAAGCTATGCTTAAGAACATTCTTCTTATATGGACATGCAAAGAAACATAACTCTTCATCTGAAAGTCCAATTTATTCAAACTACCACATTTCACAGTAGCATATAAAGAGGTTATCTGGAGTGCAAGATAAAGTGAACAAGGAGTATACCAGCAGAAAGAGAAAACAATAAAGAGCAATAGTGTCTTCAGAATTTTAATGATAAGATGTAAATAAATATATGTCACTGTATCTGGCTTCGTATCAAATCAGCGTAAGTTCGTAACTGTCGATTCCTAACACTTCGAATGTCACAACGCTGCAACTGTCGAGTCCCCCTGGAATCCTGACCATTAATGATTTTATGGATTGATATAGTTTTTTAGCTTAAGTAAGTTACAGATATAATGACAACTTTTTAAGTATGTGCTAGTTGATTTGATCCATACAGATCAAATTAGCTGTTTTCGCTGAAGTCCAAAAGACAAAGGAGATAAGTGGTTAGAGATCCTAGTTAGTATGCCGAAAAATTAGTCACAGTGATGAAGATGTATATCCGTTTTATCTTCATTCGAATAATTGTAACTTTAGTCAATTTCTCTCCAGTTCTCACTTTTTTTGGCGTTTTACGATAGTATTTACAGTGTTCCGTTTCGTCAACCCTTATATTTTTCCCAATGCAATCCTACTTCATCTAGCATTTCTAAAAGTTAAGTCACACATACCAGGGTTCAAATGAAGATGATCACAGCGAAATTCAAAAAGGATAGTGTTTTTAACAGTTTGTAACCACTTGAAGACTGGTTTATGGGGGTTCATGATATTATCAGGTTGTCCACTCAGAAAGAAGAAAAAGTGGGCGTTAAGCTTTTGATCCGTCAGTTGAAGATCAAGTGTTATTGGCTACCCAGCCAGTTAAAGTTTCCCACCAGCACTGTAATGAACGATAATATTATGTCTTGGTTACTAGTTACATATTTGACCGAGTAATGATTCTTCTCGGTAATGTTAAGAATTGTGCAAATTTTTTCAAGATATTTTTTTGAAGACAAGTACTGATTGCTCTCGTAGCTTATATTCACTTTGTGTTCTCATTATTCTGGTTATTGACCCCAACTCTTATTGAGTTGTATACGGTGTGAATACTTCCGACTTATTAGAGCATATATTACGCTTATGAGACAAGATTAATTTATATTCCATCTTAACCCAGTCAAAATTATTTCATTTTTGTTCTGCACCGTTCAGCACTTATCCCTGTGCCAGAAGCATTTGGATCCGTCGAAAAATTTCGGGCAAACCAACCCTGGGTAAGCATTCAGTTACAATAATATCCTGTTGATTAAATTTTAAAAAGAAGTGATGAGTTTCGTCTTCTTGTCATTTGCTTTAATGTCACAGTATTTACCATTTGGAGCCTTATTTGTAAGAATGAAGCCAGTTTTGTTGTAATGAGTAGTTAAAGTGATCTTATTAGTATTCTTATTAATCGAATAGCAGACTGTTTTCTTGACTGATTAATGTGCCTTACTTCAACTTTGAGTGGTGAATGTCTGTATTCCAGCTGGTAAGCACTGTTTAACTGAGTCGTTAGTGTGGTTTTTACTTCGTGTGAGCACAACGATTTAATTGTTTTAAAGTAAACGCCTTGAATGATCATTTTTGATCACTAACGGGCTGTCTAGCTGTTTTAAACTGACAGATTCACTACCGGTTTGATTAGTGTTTCAACTGAGGTATCCAACTGAGATTGTTGTTTATAATAGCATAACTTACGGAAGTTTCGTATATGCTAAATGCGGAGGATAAATTAACGTGGTTTGGTTAGTTAATAATAATTCAACTGAATAGAATATATATTTATTACTGACTAGATAAATAAAATAAATGGTGTAGTTTGTTTTACGGTTTCGTTACTACTAAACATTGTGCATGATAGTTGACTGTTTTCAAACTCTACCTTACTTCCAAATAAGTAATTGCTCTTCTTCTTTGGGCTCCAAAGAATCAAAGTAATTTCCACACGTCAACTCCTATTATGTGAGGCGTTTAGTATGGAGTTCATAACTAACCGTACATACAGTGCTTTTTGTTGAAAAAATAGAACCAAGGCATGTTTTTTTTAAAATAGTGGCCTTCAAAATTCTGATAATGTTTCCTACTACTGACTAAACTTCGAGATCCAAATACTGATCAGTTTTTATACCATTTGATGAGTATTTTTAACCTGTCATGTAAATAAGATGTACGCAGGAATTTGTACTAAAGGTTACTACATTCTTTGCAGTTTAAAAGATTTTGTAGAAATCACTTTTATTATCTCGTATTAAAGTTGGCTGGGAAATGACTAAACTTCAAGAAGTAAAACTTTTGTTTAGCATGGATTAAGCTTTGAAATTTACTGGATGAATAAGAAGAGGAGAGTGTCATTTAGTTTGTTAGGAAATTATTTCTAGATACAGTCGCAATTTATGTCCATATCTTCATACGAAATGCGTTCCGTCAGAAATTTACTTGCGTGTTAGATACTTAAAAGGGATCAGATTTCTTAAATGACACGTAATGATTGCTCGGGAGGGTACTTACGTGTTAAAATCCTTCCTTAAAGTTTATGTAAATATCTTTTCCCTTAGTTTATATAGCTGTTTATTCCATTATGCTAACAGATTTTCACGTGCACCTTTGTTTCTACTTTAACTCCGGGTATTTATGGATAGCCTAACTGTCAGCAATGTGTTGTCTGCCTTTCGTCGACCGACTGCCATCTTTCAATAATTGACCAAGTTAGGAGCAAATAACTTACATTTATAAACTTTATACCAAAAGCTAAATACGGCATTGAATAGTTTATCAGTAAAACTTCCGGTTATATTACGGATTAATTCAGCTAGCAATCTGAATTAAATGCTGGATATTAAACCCCCTTCCATCTGGTGTTTTAATTTGAGGCATAGGTGGAGTTATTTTTTACTACTCTATACTGTATGAAATCAAGTCCATAACAGTTCAAGATAAATCTCGTTCTAAAGTGTTTTTAATAAGGCAGTATCACAATCCGCACTCGTTTATAAATTATTTTTCAAAGCACTATGAAGCAAAATTATGCAACTAATGTAACCTATTTAGAATGAACATCATTCTAGTTAAAGTTCAAATGTTCGCATCTAAGTGAATTAATCAAACATTGTTAGTGTACGTAACGTTGATTACTGAGATATCTTAATTCACTAATACACCAATGTGTGAATTGTTTAGATTACCTATAGAATGGCTGTAGTGAATGCTGGTGGTTTTTTCAATTCAATTAATGTAGCGTTTATAGTTACTTAGACCTAATGAATTATAAACATCTGAGTTTTATTAATGTTTGTATTCATTCCAGTCTTATTACAAATTTTTTATTATCTAAATGAAAAGTTTCAAGACAGATACATCACCTTTTGGAAACAAGGTCGTACGAGACATCCCTTATGTTCTAGTTGGGAATGTTTTTGCTTAAGAGGAAGTCACAGTTGGATATTACTGAGGGATCCCGAATTATTATGAAGCGTAGATATTATTAGTTTTTAGCTTTCAACTACTGGCTGACTGAATTAAGCTTGTGATAAAATTGTTCTTGAAATAAATACGCTTCAGATGGCTCATTTCACTAAACAGTGGAATTGCTTGCAGTCAGTGAATATGGTGTCAAAACCTAGGGAGCTGAATCAATACTAAATCTTTCAGGGTAAATGCTGTTCTTCCGGTTACACTGATACTTGCTTTCATACGCGGAACTGTTGAAATGAAGAAGAGAGCTGTATGGATAACAGCTAAGTGCTGTAAGGTAATTTACCCGATAAACTGTTGCTTAGTGTGTGTTATTGAACATTAACGGAACCAAAACTGTGGTAGGTCGATTGGTTTCTATGGTATACTGATGACGTTCTTTAGATGTGTGCTAATATGTTGCTGTAATGCAACTCCATCAACCTTATATTTCAGGCGTTCAACGTTGTTGCTCAGCTGCAGGAAGTGGAATTGGGTAGACCAGTGAGTTATAATGCGAGGTAATGGGACTATTCGGCTGCCAGCGTATTTTAAGATTTCTCTTAGCACATAACTATAATATGTAGTAATGATGGATACAAGCAATTATACATAACTATGAGTTCGATAACAAATCTCATAGCACCTTGTACTTTATATAAAAAACTGTATTTCGCAGCTATTATTTTTACGGAAGATTCAAATTAATGTGTTCTTCACATAAAAATCTTTGTGCAATGCGAATGAAACCGACCTTTGGAATTTTACAAATATGTTTCCATTGGATAGAGTCTATCTAATACTCAATTTATTTAGCTATGTCAGACTAAATTTTGATTCTGATGTGTATGAAATTAGTGCTTTCTGTTCACATTCGTTACGAGAGTATATGAAATAATTTTGTTCGTTATTATCATTTTAATCTGCTAACTACTATGAAAGCTGTTTGATTTCTAGCGCAAATTACGATAACAAAATTTGATGGAATAATAATTTTTGTGAATACTTTTTACTTAAGGTAAATAGTGAATACTATGTTGGTTGGTTAGATGTCTGGAACGGTATCCATAATCGAGTCGATCCTACATGGGCTTCAGCTGCATTAAACCACTTGATCAGTTATTCAGACAGAGTTAATGTGAACATGTAAGTTGACTTTTTCTCTCTATCAAGTAAAAGTAAGATTTAGATCACCCGTAGAATATGGGCTTACCTCTGTGTTCTTGTTAAGTGAAGGCTTATTACCATGGCTTGGACCAATAGTATACCTATAGCTGATAGATTTATTTAGTTTGAAGGAGAAACGAGTTTAACTTTAGTATTGATTTATAGCTGTAGCTTCATATTGGTTAGTTTACGGGACCGAATTCATCGGTCTTCGTTGGCAGATGGACTGCTTGAACGAACGGATCCCCCAATATCGCTGCATGTTTCACCATGATGCAAGTTGCTTCTTGGTGTTTAGAACTGGAATCCTGGATGTAGGTATCATCGCATGATATTCATCAATAGTTTGTACCCACATACCAGTAAGTGGTTCTGTTGCCATTGTGATTGGAACCAAGTCCAAGTCCTAATCAAGATGAAACATACTTCCTGAAAATTCGTTGCTAAACATTACCAAACCAACTACATAATTATTAAGTTACTTTCAGCTCTAGGTTTCCTATGATAGTAATCCACACCAATTACATACAGGTTACATCTTCAAAATACTCAGAACATAAAGTGATTGTATCATTTTACACTTGAAAAGTGGCGACCAAAAACCGTAAACATATGAACAGAAACTTTGATAATGTCTATCTTTAGCTTACAGCCTTGTTGAATTTGTCTTAGTGCATTATTTACACTGTTAACAGATTTATGTATTCCATAAATGCCTCCCCAATTCTCTGTAGATAAGTTTGGTCAACGACATCTTTTGATCACTTCTGGTGAAGGGTTAAACCTATGAGTGATGGGTACACATAAAGCTGTAGGAACTTAGATAATTACATAAACTAAGAAAGTACTCCAAATAAGGTTGTTGCTAGTGTAGTTACTGTTCATCCACTGGTTGTCATTATTCGCAGCATTCTTTTATTAAATATATTCTCATATAATCTCAAGGTTCATCTAGAAGTATATTATTTATCTATTCCATATTAGATTTGTTTATTTGATATAAAGCGCACAGTGATACAGTATTATTTAATTGATTACGTTTCGAGCATAAATTATTGCTCATAAATCACATCAATGTAATCACACTTCTTTCGACATCTGATTTTATAGTCCTGTCACCTGATCTCTCTTTGTTTTTTTGTTTTTTGATTGGTAGTAAAGTTTTCCATATCTCTGGTATAGGTGTTGCGTCATTCCTATTACATGTGTTGGGTGTGGATTCGATGAACAAAGATTCAGTAATTAATCTCTCTCTCCACCTAGCTATATTAGACTTAAGTACAGTGGTTTTGTCCCATCCTATTGTGTGGTTGTGTGTTAATGAATGTAATGCAATGGCTGAGTGTTTTTCTAGGTTATTGATCTTATTGGGGTCTGCCGTTCTATGTTTAGCTAAATTCCTATGTTCTGTTAATCTAACTGACCCCGACCGGCTAGTTTGACCTATGTATTTCACCTCACAGTCATTACATGGAATTTGGTAGATTATATTATTTTGCCTAATTGGTTCTATCGGATCCTTTAGCCGACAAAGCTTACCTCTAAGTGAGTTTGTTGGTTTAAATGCCACCCTAATTCCAACCTTGTTGATAATCCTACGTATGGTTTCTGATGTTCCTTCCTTGTATGGTATCACAATAGAGGTGTTGATTTCCTTTCTACTTATGTTGTCACTATTATTTGTATTTGTATTAGTGTTATTATTTTGCTTCTTATGTGTTTGTGTGAATTTCTTAATAAAGTGATGGGGATAATTATTAATTATTAACGCTTCTTTTATGTGTTTCAATTCCTTTTTTCAGTCCTTACAATGACTAGTGAGTTTCTCAGCTCTGTTATTTAGACATTTGACTAAACTCACTTTAACTGACACTGGATGAGATGACTTGAAGTCTAGATACCTCTAGGGTGGGACAAAACCACTGTACTTAAGTCTAATATAGCTAGGTGGAGAGAGAGATTAATTACTGAATCTTTGTTCATCGAATCCACACCCAACACATGTAATAGGAATGACGCAACACCTATACCAGAGATATGGAAAACTTTACTACCAATCAAAAAACAAAAAAACAAAGAGAGATCAGGTGACAGGACTATAAAATCAGATGTCGAAAGAAGTGTGATTACATTGATGTGATTTATGAGCAATAATTTATGCTCGAAACGTAATCAATTAAATAATACTGTATCACTGTGCGCTTTATATCAAATAAACAAATCTAATATGGAACTACATTCTACCACAGTGCCCAAGTTTTTCACTTATATTATTTTTCTATGTTGATTTTGTTTGGTAGAGCAGGAAACACCATTTGCACCAGTATTATGCTACCATTTGTACTTACTTACACTGTTGGTCTATGTAATTTTGAAGACAAAGTTCTAGTTATCACAATGGCTACAAGTCATCGTGTATTAATGAGTTTCCATTTCTGATTTGGAGTGCAAACAGTCATAAATGTTTTCGTAGGGGAAAAACTGTTGTATTTGCAATGCTGAACAGGATCATTTTTCATTTGCATTTGGAGACTTCTTAAACTAATAATTGACTGGTGAATACTCTCCGCTCTGTCAGATATACCTTTTGCTGCATTTTTCACACGTAACGCTGAGAGAAGTTGGATTAGTTGAGAGAGGGATCAGGGTGGTCAGACCAAAACGTGGCAACAGTTGATGGAAACCCTGACTGTTGGTCTGAGGCATGTAGGCAAATGCAGACTACCTGGTTAGCGTCATCGGATGATGGGAATCAGTGGTTGAGGACTTTTGTTGATGTCGCTGAAAATCCGTCACAGTGGCGCAGATGTATTCACTATTTGATGTCTTCTAAAGCCTGAATATTTTCTCTAACTTTTATCTTCAACTTACTTGTTCTGTCACACAATTTTATCTACTTTAATATTAGTCTTTTTCTATCGACTCGTTCTTGGTGTACTACTGTGAAGCGTATCAGCTTGAACCGATACACATGTATGTGTGAGGTTCTGTGTTGGTTTTGTTTGTCTGTCACTGTGTAAGTAGTCTACTACTTTGATCTAATTATTAATATTTCATCGGGATATGTTAAACTGTTACTAATCATTTCCCCTATCATTTTTTATTTCACTTTCTAAAAGCTATATGTTTCATGGTGGAACCAATTTTGGATTTTGGAATGGTGGAGCACGACCAAGGCCATCAATTACAAGTTACGACTATGATGCACCTATCAGTGAAGCTGGTGATATAACATGGAAGTATATGATATTAGGGAGCTGTTTTTCCAAGTAAGTGTCTATAGATATTTTTAAACTGCTGAGGAAATTGGAATATAAAATAAAGCTTTTCGTACATATTATATGCATGTGGAAAGATAAGGGGGAGATTGTAACTGCTAATTTGCGTTAACTGAAGACACACAAGTGAACTTCTAGGAGGAGTTTTTATTGACTTAAAAATGACTTTTGAATTTTGTCTTTAGGATTTATTGGGTTAAAACTATTTAACAATATACAGTGATTGGATTACTTCAAAGTAAAATTTTCTTACCTGTCATCTTTAGTTTTGGCGCTACAATCTAAATTATCAATGATGACTATGGATATCTCGCTGTATGGAGAACGAAGTTGGACGATGTATCTACTTAGCGTTACTAAAACTACAGTATACCTAAATATACGCATAATCAACAATCACCTTTTGGATACAGAAGGCTAACGAAGATTAAACTAGTATTTATGATTAGTGTTTACCAAAAGTTTGATGCTTTTGTAAATGAAGAGTTGTCTGATCTAATTTATTAGGTCTTTAAATGGAAACTTTTTGCTTAGAATTGGTAACAGTTCAACCCTTGTACTGTTGTAAGGGTCAAATCAACAAAAAAAGATGAATAGAACCAGTGCATATTTATTCACACATCTTTTACTATTACTGAAAACACAAATATTGACTAGTACTTTTGTGTTGTGTGTTAACATAAATTCACTTTAAGGGTAGTTTTTATTGGGAAACGTTATATCATTGCACAATGTCCACTACATGAAAATTAGTATTACTGCGTTGCAAAATGGTCTATTTGCGAATAGTAGATGTTGTTCAGATTTCATTCTTTGTTGCATAATAGAGAACCAGTGTAAGACTAGTAAGCAGTGTCCGATGAGTTCTTTACCAGATAACTGCTGGTTAAGAACCCTATGTTCCAAACGTTTTAACCTGTTTTAGTTTACAAAATCGCGTAACCTCCATCTCATATCATTGAGAAGCACATGCGTTTTCTCTCACCATTGTTGAATTAAAGTTACTAATCAATGTAAAACTTAATTGTAAGGCCTCCAATTAAAAATACCTCACTCTTAGGTTACAATAAGAACTGCTCACGACCAAAATGGTTTGTAATTAATTTGATTACTAGTGATCAAAAATGAGGAAGTCTCTATAGCAGGGAAGAAATAAATTTATTGTGCCTTTCTACTCAAGGCAAATGTAATATGAACTTCTTGATGAAAGAATTACTAGCATTTCCTAGAATTTTTTCCGTAAATACTATCGATACTTTTATTGATCGGGAAACAAACTTTTCTTCAATGTTGTATTGCTATGCTTAAGTGTGATGATAGATTTTTGAAATCAGCTGACACTTTGTGGTTGCCGCCACCATGAAAGTAACTTTTTCTTGAGGATTATTTATAGTGGTGCACTCAAGTTCCCTCAAACCAATTCCAACCCTCCAGACTTTTGTATTCTTTTCGTTTCACGTCTCTTGCTTAATATTCTGGTATGATCTTCGACCTCTCCTAGCTGTATGACGGTTATTTACTTAACCTCACCCGGTCAATACAGTGAATTTACAACATTCTGGAGACTTGTTAGCTAATTCTTGGGATTTTACAGGAGTAGGTGAATCATCGGGTCTTAAGGGAGGGAGTGAACTACTCGACTGAATCACAGTTGACAGTTGTCTGTGCACTGTTTGACTGTGTGATTCAGTGAGGACAAAAATAGGGAGAGAAACTCGCTGTTGTCTTTTTACAATCTCCGCCCACCCACCGATTACAATTCGGATGAGGTAACAAATGATACATACCGAAAACTGTTTAGTCTCCAATCGATGGTTAAAATTTCAGTTATGGTTGTCGTAACAGCTGCTTTTACTGCACAGGTGGGTAGGCTAAATCAGACAAAAAGGTAATTAAACAGCTTTTCTGGAATCTTAGTCAAACAAATGAATAACGACGATCACCTACAACTGTGCTCAGATGGCCATCTATTTTTAGTCATTGAAAACTTCAGACATAAAGTGGGATTGCTTGATGTGGCATCCACCGAAACGAAATTGACAGTCGACACAGATAAACGATATTGCTATCAGTTATTATTGAAAAGGGTGGGCAGAAGATTACCTCCCCATTATGAGCACACTAGTGTGCGGTGAACAAGCATTGGTTCAAGCGTGCGTATGTATGCACCATAATAGATGTAGAAAAATTACTGCAACAAGATATTTCAAACGGAGCTCGATGATGAGAATGCTAGGGCTGCTATCAATCAGGAAGTGGTTGGACAGTTATTGCAACAAGACGGTGTCACTCATTTGGAAGAAACCTGGTACTGTAAAAACAACTTTTAACAACGCAAATGACTCTCAGAAGGAAATTAAATGCGGTCAGTTGATCAGAGTATCTTCTGAACCAGTGGATGCGTTATAAAAGTATTTCTGCTAGTCCAATATGAAGTGGAAGCAAATGGAAAGTAGGCTAACTAAAAGTCTGCACAACATCCTCTAGCACTGGTGGATACCGAAGTATTATGAGGTTGAACTGGGGACAATAAGCTTTGAAATATGGCTATTAAGTGTGGAGGAAAGGCTTCAGATATTTGACTGACGTCACCTACGTAATATAGGCCGTGCGTCGTGGTACCACCACGTCATTAATAGAGAAGTTGGGTGTAAAATCCTGGGCAGATGTGGGAAATCATTTCGTGGTGTTATAGACCTTTATCGACTCAGATTCAGATGTTGCACGCGTGCTTGGCCACGCTTCTTCATTTGCAGTAAAAGGTTTGAGGCGGCCTGACTAAAAACATGATATAAGCGCATAAAGTGTGCATGTGATAAAGACAGATATGAAAATGAGAAGTTTACAGTTCTGTCAGAATTTTCCCACACATAATAGGCAAATTTGTCTTTTGCTGTACCGATAAGTTATGCTAAAAACGAGTTACTGCCTTTAAGATTCTCGCAACATGCTTTGTGGTAACAATACCATGTACCCGTTGCTACTATAGCTTTACAGCATACTGATTTGCTACATTTCGTTCGGCAAATGCAATCTTTGAGTAAGTTTATTTTTAATAATTGGTGAGAAATCTGTAGTAACAATCTAGAGTGAAGTGTTATATTCACACTTCTGAATTCCATGGCTTGATTTACGATCAACATCGAAACTTCAGACAGTAAAGAAAACTGTCTACAATGATTAAATTCGTACAACTTGTAATTGGTTTACTTATAAGTAAGATGAAAATTTGGGTTCTCCATTTAAATTTTCTTGATGTGATGCAGCCTTATTCGTCGCTATACTTTTAAAATCATAACAAATTTGACTATGATGACTTAGTAGACCAGTGGACAATACTGTGACTTTTGAAGCGATGAGTGCTGGTCCCAATGGCAACACCATCACCCATTGGGATTCAGATATATCCGAATGTTGAATGTGAAATAGAACGAATCACATGTTCTTGATTTTACTGATAGCCACCTTCAAGCAAATAATATCAAAAGGATACTAGTAGACTTGTTTATGTTAGCAGTTTGGTTCATATAAAGTATTCATTCTGTAAGATGAATTACCAGAGACGTGCTCATTTGTGTACTAGGTTGGGATTTCAGCTATTGTGTATGGGGTAGAGAAATCTCAGAACATAGTTCCAACTTTTGAATCCCTAGTGGATAAAGGTCAGGTGCCTAAACTTGTGAGCCATAGCTCAAAACAACTATTTCACAGTCATAGTATTGTTACACCTTTTTTTCATCAACTTTTTATAACCCAGATCTGTGTTCGACCTTATTGTGTTTGCATTTTCATATAATAGGATTAAAGAAGTTAACACATGAGCACGATGACATTTATTCAGAAAAGCACATATTCTCTAGTTTCACCACAACACCATTTAGATTCAAACTTTTGAACAAATGCTATCATTTTTGCAATAAACCTATCAGCATTTTTTCACAGCCAAGCGTCCAGTTTGCTTTATCTAATAGTAAGTGGTTTTTAAACTGCTTTTTCTAGACTAAAATGATTGAACCATGATGAAAAAAATTCCTTGTTCACCTGTCAGACGATTCATGTTGGATTTTTTAAATGTAGAAACATCAAAGAAAGATAGTAACCCTCAGAGTTAATCGCTTCATCACTTAACTAGGCAGTCCTTACTATTTTGACTGATTTTAAAAAAATGAATTCGCTCTAGAGATGCTTGTCATGTGCAATCCATATACCGACACTAACAGTGCAAGGGTTTCTGTACTTGTCAAGGTATGCCCAGAGTGAAACAATAACTTTGCTGTAAATTGTATCACCATCGTTTATTTTATTCACAAATGGGTGCCCATTCAGGAGATAAGTACTTTACATTGCCTTTAACCATTCATCAAATATCCATCAAGCAAAATAGCTTTTTTTGAATAAGGGAAAGTATGTCCGGAAAAGAACTGCTGCATGCCAATTTTCTAATCCAATAGTTTAAAGTTGACACATTAAGCCTCATGTTGCTTATGCTAAATGTGAACCACCGTGTAAATAAATAATCTGGTAACTGTGAGTTGCTTCTTTGTTTTAAACTAATGCTGGCGTGTGGATGTACACTCTTTTTATGAATTTATGCTGATTACTTAATCGTTGTCATTATTGTATTTCAGACGTCACTTTTATTTTCACTCAACACTGCAGATTGTATATGACTAAAATGGTCTGCTACAAGTTCTCGCAGAAAATGTCCTTCAAAGCTCTATCCAAACAATTCTACATTTTCTACCACTAATTGTGTATGTATAATGCATGTTTTATCTTTTTTTTTAGAGAAAAGGCGTTAGGCCACCGAAACTGCCTAGAAATAATACTAAGATTTCGTATGGTCGAGTTGAAATGAAGTTTGTAAGTCAACGTGTTTTCATTTACTTTTATGTAGTAAATTCATATAATTTCAATGCTATTATCTTTTTTTTTACAAATGATATAAATAAAGTCGTAAAATCAGGAGATAGAAAAACACGGCATTATAAACAGGTACATTGCTTTACGCCGATACATTTCTCAGCAGCATAGAAAAAGATCACTTAAGGGATATGAGCATGGAAATAATATATGAATGAAGGTCAGAAAGATGTTCAGAATTCTAAAGTGGATACAGAATTATGCACCTGGAACCCCTGTCCTTCAAAGGTATCAGCTCCTTTTCATTGAGCTTATCTCGAACTGAAAATGCAAGTTACATTTTATTGAGCATTAAATAATAAACTATAGGGTGAATAGCTGTTTAACATAATTCCATTTTAATGGTTGAATTATGATCAATTTTAGATAACGTGTGACTGTAGCCACGTTTTCAAGACGTGTTTACTCGAACAATCTAAATTTATTTATGTGATAGTGTGGGTTAGAGTGTCATCATTCTAAACCATTCTGAAAGTTATCCAATTTCATAGATCTGATATGTATTTCCTATGATGAACGTTGCAAGATAAAGTTAAATTTACAGCATATACCATAGGCTATTGCATTTTGTTGACTTGCCTCTCAGATTCTGAAACGTAAACCACTTTGAAAGCAAACTGTAATTCAGAATTTCATTTAAGCAAACTGCGCATTTCTTTCGATTGGCATTAGGTTTCAATTATAGCATCGTATCTTGCTTTAGATAGAGAAAATACTTCACTACGTTATTTTTATTTTCTTAGTATATTTACGAAATTTTGATGATTAATTTAAGTACTTTATAGGATAAACTGAACTTTATGGTTGCACTTGAATTTACAGGCACCACAGTTGAATTTTGGCTTCCATGCCATATAATTTCAAATGTTGTAGTTTTGATTCAAAAAATGAGTTTGTTATTCTGGTTTTGAGTTTACCAATACTGATTTCACTTTCGAACAAAACAAATGTGCTTTGGAGACTGAGGTATATAACTTAAAAGCCTACGTTAATGTAATCCACCAGTATTAGTGCTTTCAGAAGCACATACCCTATGGGATTCAACGATTTCGTGATCTTAACAAATCAAATATTTCCATTTTGTGAATCTTATAGTATTCGGGCCTCTAATCGTCGAGAAGATAGATTATGAGCCATGTTTGATATAGAAAAACTAGCAATAAGTACAATCATCCTATTTTTAGTCTTGCTAAGTGCTTTGAACCTATTTTTAATTCAAGTATTCTCTGTGAATGACTTCTCTGGTGGCTTACGGTTATAAAATGATTTCTGTATCAATTGGTGCTTTGCATAATTAATATGTTTGTACGTCTGTTCAAGTATCGAAAATCGGTTTTTGGTTCATCATTTAATTCCTTAGGAAATCAACTGTAGTAAGATAAGTTAAGAAAAGGTATTTGTGTTCATCTAATTAATCTACAATTCATTTCGAGTGCACTTAATGAATAAAGGCAGTGTATTTACATCTCAATTTTAACGCATAAGTTATAATTTCTTTAGTGATTTGTTCAGTTCATTGCTGGGACATCTTATTTTGATGCTTTTTTAAAAACTGTGTTGCAGCTGCCTGTTTTTAAGTCTTACATTTAGTAAGCCCACACTAGGTTATTTAAATCACTTCTATAAATAAAGAGGTCATGTAATACAAGTTGTTTTTTTATAAGGATGGTGAAGAGCATCATTTTTCTGGGTAGGGCATACTTAATGAAGACATATCTGAGATTTTCTTATATTTACATCGTAAATGTATTTCGAAGCCTTGATAACCACTGAGGATGACATGAATTATGTCCATAAGTATTATTACTGATAGGATAGAAAATGTTTTAATATTAATTTATGGATTTTCGCTTAAAGATATGTACAGTGAATCATCATTTAGTGTATGCGCTTTTTGGGGAGTTTGGTTGCACACACACATAGTCCGCAACCTATTATTATTATTATTATTATTATAAATGTCTGTCAAATAGAAGTATCCAAGTTATCCAACTATCAAACTTTCTGATCACAGTGCTGATTCACTGGTTATCCTAAAAGTAAAAACCCAAACAACATGGACATACTTTTTTGCCAGACTAACAATCTGGTTTTGACGAATGACTTACATTCATGTTTGCTTTCTAGGATATCATTTGGGCTAACTTCATAGTTCCAAAAGACTTAACAATTGAATATTAAGGCGTAAACAAAAATTTTCCCTATCACTGTAAGATAAAAAACAGATTATCTTAAACAATAAAGAGATGTGAAGGCAGTAGTAGCTTACAAAATAGCTAGCGAAGAAAACATCTAGGCATTAGTGAACACCGCATCATCATCAAACAGATAACTTATCGAATGATATTCTATAAATAATATATTCAGTAACAGGTGGATGTCTTGTTATGTCTTCAATAACTATTTTACCCCAAAAGGCACATACAGAGTGTTAGAACTCAACTGACTGATCCTTATTATTGCTAGCACACACTGTTTTTCGTCTCATCTTGATTTTTCCTCCTTTTTATTTATTAGCGAGATTGTCCCCACATTTGTTCACTCCTTTTACTGTGCTAGCTTTGACTGCCGAGTTATTGTATCAAATGCTACATTTTTTCACTCAGCGTATATATATATATATATATATATATATATATATATAAAACACTTTAAACGTGCTTCTTTGAGTAAAAGTATGTAGCTTGAAATAGTTATTGAAGATGTAATAAGACACCCATCTATTACTATGTTATTTACAGATCATTCGATAAGTGACCTATTTGATGATAGTTTTGTCTGTTTTGTCTCTGTTGTTAAATATAGCAACTTAAATTGATGCACCTTTGCATAAGGCATCAATAAAACGGCTTATGCGGTAATTTTGATAGATGTACTCATGATCGATAGTATAAACTACAGGTTATTATACATGTAAAAGAATGAAAAAGGAAATCGGAGATATGCCTGTTGAGTTACATTTGCACTGACCTTTATCTTCAAACTGTTTATTTTCTCGCACTACTTTGTCCTTTTCGATAACACCTTTTCTAATCACTTGTTTTTTGTATGCTAGTGTGAAGTGTAGCAAGTTAAGCCGATGCAACTGTGTGTGAGGTTCTACGTTGATTTTGTCAGTCAGTCTTCACGTTAAGGCCACGTACGGTCTCAATTACGTCATTAGATGAAACTATCTACTTTTTTCATATGAAACCTTGGTTCCAGTGAGTTCATTAGTGAGGAAGTAGATCAGGCAACAGTCTTGTGGTACTACGAAGGAAAACGGTTAATATTTCTTAATGCATACCAAAGAACCATATGATTTTTTCCAGTAAGAAGTGTCATCTGCAGAATGATTTTCTGAAGCGTTCTCTTAAAATTATTGGTTTGAATAGGGTCAAAGGTATGTTCAGAGTGTAGGAAGCACCATGTTTTCAGTGAAATTGCTATTTTAGGTTTTTCAGTTAATAGTTTTAATTCATTAGGACACAGTAAATTACCATCGAACGTGTAAAATTGAATGTTTTACAAATCTTTAAAAGAAAAATTCAATCTAGTTTCTTCCTTTAGTCTCTGGTCTTAGACCTTCGACAAACAATATTTGATTATGATGTAACCATACTGTGAAGTTCATGCTACCTGTTTGGCATCGCAAACATCACTATTGCCGCTTTAGAGGGAATTCATTTCATTCTAGCGTTTTGTGTGCCATAAAACACTAAAGTCAAACCAGTATCAAAAGTGAATGCCTTTTGGATAATCTGTTAATATACGCTAAACAGTTTAATGCAGCCGAGAAGTGTCTGTATAAACGTAAAACTTGGGTATTGTGGTAGGATATGATTTCATATTACATATGTTTATTTAATTTTTTTATTAGTTACTTGACGTTTCTAGGATAAACTATTAATTATGAACAATAATTTATGCTCAAAACATCATCAAATAAATAATACTGTGTCGCTGTCAGCTACATATCGAATAAACAAATCTAATATGAGAAATATCTAGTTTTTTTGGGCATTGAAATTTGACACTAGCATTTTAGAACATACCTTTATCCAAATTATGTTTTTAATTTCGCTCTCATCAAAATTTTAATGTTGAAGGTTCAGAAATATCTAGAACGAACCGCATATAATTGATTTTAATTCATTGTTGCTTGTGCTTTAGTGAAGCGGTTTTTATGCTCTTGATATGTTTTAAACTTTTCTTCAGAAATCCCACCTGTTAGCTACAAAAGGTCCTGTTACCCGTGCTACTTTCCCTGTTTACATGGAACGTTTAAGTCAAGTAAGAAGCCAGTAATGATTTGATTTACACACTATTTAAATCTGATGGTCAACTTTTTGTTTACATAATCTTATATGAATTTTTAACGAAATTCACTGAAGCAAAGGTAGGTGACCATATAGGACTGAGTTACTGTGTCATACCTCAATGAAAACTAACAGTATGTTGAATTCATATGGAAAAGAGATATTTACCATAATGACTAGATACATATGCTGAATTGTTCTAAATTAGGATTGAAATATTTAAAAGAGCCCTCGCTTTTCAACGTCACTGAGGGAACCTGACTGAAAAATGTCAAAAGCATGGTAAACCGAAGTGAATGGTAGTCACAAAAATGAAAACAGTATTTTTATTTCTGAGTGAAAACTTCACTGTTCTGATAAACTGAGAGTATTTATCAGCATTTGTCCAATTAGAAATTGTGTTTTGTAGACAGACAAAAAAGTCACTCCAGATTTTTCACTGGAAAATTAGTCTCTAACCTGCATATTGTTGAATAACTCAAATAACTTAGGCTTTTAAACTAAAGCTTGGAAGTACGCTAATGAACTCAGATAATCATACTATATATATTAAATGTGAAGTGAAATTATATTCACAAACCTAACTCCATGATGTAATGATGTAATTTGATGTAATCAAATCGAATCCATTTCTGTGCTCAGTTAGCATCAGTGGATCATTACAATTATTTTTTTATTATCAAAGCGCGCATTATTAAATCATTTTTCGCGTGGTGTAATAACTTTACAAAAGTTGTTCAAAGTCACAATTTTTCTTTTTGTCTGTTAGGTTTAGTAAATCAGAGCACGAGTTATGACTTAAAACTACTGCGCGAACCAATTTGATAACAAATGTGTGGAGGTATTAACAAATATAAATCCGCATAATTCACTCAAGTTTTTACAACCAGTGTATGAAACATCAATACATCGATGCGTTTACGCATGCATTACACTTCATTCAAATCTATTGTTTAACTTGGAGTTTCTCCTGTAGATAGTTAAAACATGCTCTATAGATAATAGTGAAATAGAATATTGATGCAATAGCTTGTTTGTATTGGATAGAGACATTTATAGCGAATATGGGAAGCGAGGTAGAGATAGAAATGACGGTAATAGATGAAATATCTTGGCCAATTGGTAAACAGAGTTCCAGAATTTTCACGTTTATCAAATTTTCTATTTCGTTGTCATTTAAATGACGGTTTTTTATGAAGTCAGTATGTTGACAGTCATAAAAAATATCCCTAGAAAAGCTGCAAGTGATTAGCTTAGCCAACAAACGGAAGGTTGAGCATTTAGGGTGTATCATCATGTCACAGTGGATGAGGTTTGCAAACTAGAAAATGAACCTGTTACGTACTGATTTGCTTCCTCATTTATTGATTTATAATTTTGTGGCGTTTAATATCCTTTATGGCTCAGACATTAATGATTATTAATTATAAGCCTTCCATAAAAATTTCGATAACAAACATTATGTAACCACTACACATATTTTGACTACCTGCTGGAGGTTTCTGAAGCAGGGATTCACTACAGAGAGCTTTGTCCAATTGATTAAGTCTCGACAATTGATACTTACGTTTTCTTAACCCTACTAGATAACGAGTTTCTAGTCGTGATTTACGTAAATATTAGTAAAAAAAAATACATATGAAACTCATGCATCTCATACATTGGTTGCTAACCCTAAGTACACTTATTTGCAATTCAAAGAGGTGTTTCTCAATAGTAACAAGACGACCAAAACAATTTTCCCACTTATGCTAGGTATCGCTTGCTAACTATTTCCTAACGCTTAAAATAAAAATACTTAGTGCTAAAATTTTGAGAGCATGTAGTCCAAAACTTTAGGGTAGAAGCAAGTGATAAGTTAATTTGAACTATTGGCAAATCTTTAGTGTTGCTTGTGAAATCAACATTCCTTATGAAGTTCTACCAATATTGATCTTTCTTTTGACCTTATAGTGTTTGATATCGGAAATTAGGGCTGAGAAGGTAATTCATTTTGAAGAGCTGTTTTCTAGGCTACAAATATTTTTCTTTATGTATTCCTTGAGTCATGAAACTCTTTGATAGCGTCATCAACCACTTGTAGATGTCATAATTTGTGTTGAAACCTGTATGCATATTCAAAACTTAATTATTTGTTGTTAGTCAATAGGAAAATTGTACTCCCTATATTGTGTCATTCTAATCTTTTCCTTGTTTATTTCTCGTGCTTTTTTTTTTAGTATAACGGATATATGATCTATTCAGTTCCTTTAAGAATTGACCGACCCAAATCTCTTCTTGTAAATTTCTCTCGTATCTCAGATATTGCCCACATTTTTACTGGAAATAATTCTGGATATTACGTAAGTATACGTCAAAAAATTTAGAGTATGCTTAACAAATCCTTCATTTTATAGCAATACACAACAGGTATGGTTTGTGTTTATTTTAACAACTGCACTGCAAATATGAAACTGTTTCGCCTTTGATGTTTTCCCCAGTAGTTTCTACTGTATATTAGTTTACTGTTTTGCATTAATAGTTGAATGCATCAATTCAACAGTATCATGCGTCAAAATAAAACAAAATAATCATATATCTTAAAATAAACTAGGAGTGCATCTACACAACTTTTATTATGATCTGTAGTGTAGTTTTAAGCCTTTTGTTTTAGTGATTTCTGCAAACGTTTGAAGTTTTAATCATTTAATCCTTTCTAGATTAGAATTTATCTGATAATTTATATTCGAAGCTTTTGGACGATGTAACTCTACAGTACTCTGCAGTATAGTTGTGGTTCACAATTAAGAGCTATTGGATATGGACGTAAATTCTGCTCCTTCGTGATAGTGTTTCATACTTGCTTTAAAAAATACCAGGGTGGAAAAATATGGAAATTTTACTGCTAGTCAAAAGCCAAAATGTGACAGTTTTCTATACATCTTTATAAACAGCTGTCCATTGAGTACGACAATAGGTTGTAAATCGGTAATTCTTATGTAAATTAAGAGTGAAGTCAGGTGTTTTGAAAATGACCATGTATGACTAACATTTAAAGTTATCACTCGCTTTATTTCTCTGTGGAGATGATATGTTGACGTCTCATAAACTGTGCTGCTTCTAGCTTTATTTTTAAAAAATGGTTGTTTAAACAACTAAGATTCCCCAAACATATGAACCTTTCAAGTGTATGCAGTCCGCCTTTTTACATTCAAAATTCGAAAAGAAGTGAGTAAACCATATTTGATTATTTAAAGCTTCATACAAGGTTATGTAGTGAATAAAAAACGTTTCTTCCTTAGGTGTATAGAACATTTCTCATGCAAAATGAGTTTTTGTCGCTTGACTGTTCATTTTCTAAGTAAATGTATTTTAACCCTTTTTGCCGCTATCGTCGGCTACCTTCTTGACCAGCCTACTCAAAGGTAGCGATGTAAACAATAATGGATATTAGCTCGAAATGACAAAAATCCAGGTTTGAAAGCCAAAAGTGGATCACCAATTGAAATCTTTCGATGATATTCGTGTTATATAGCTAACTGATAGAAGTAGAAAATTTGGATCACTGGACTCCAACCCAGAGAATGAATGACTAGCGCGTTCTCCGTGAAACCTAAGTTGAAACCCAGGTGAGTTGCGGTCATGGGTATATACTGCTGAGAAGTCCCATCCTGTGACGAAACGACTTTTCAGTGATCTCAGCTTTCCGATGGTTCTCCAGGTGATGTCAGCCCGCTATTAGTACTACCTTAAAAATAAAATTCTCACATCAGAGTACTTTGCCTATCTATTTGACTGATGTTTTACAACATTTCAGCAACAATCAATGATAGCTCACAACTTATGCTTCTGTTGCGCACTGTAATGTTGAGAGTTTACTATGATAATAACTGGCGAAATTAATTCTCAGGCAGTAGTTAAAAATTTACTGCAAAGTTCACTTCAGCAGCTCATATAGTCCTTAATTATGGTAAATGAGGAGCCTCTATACATAGCATTATTAAGTGACAACCCTTTCAAGCAAATGGAAATAATATACGGATCATTTATTTCACAGTGCTGTTGAATGAAGAATGTGGTTGTTAGGCTAACATGTACTGATGGACAAAAGGAGGTTATGGCAACGATAATTATCATCTGTTTTTGAGTTATTGCGGTTTTTCTTCAGATATAAAAAAGTGTCGTTATCCGTTATCTTAAGACTTAGCAGAGAGTCAGACATAGTTCACATGTGAAGCCGACTGCTTTCCCACTGTGGATTTTCTGTTTGTTTTTTACTTGAAAAGCAAAACAAAGGAGAAGGCTAAAATATTCTTCAAGGGAAATTGTAATAGGGCTAATTATCTTCCTCAGTATATCATGAGTAATGTCATCTTGTTTTGGGTGGGATGTGTAATGGGGCCCATATGCTGAAATTTATCTTTTTATGTAGACATAGTTGATAGTTCTGGATTAAAAAAGAATCGGTCAAGATCAACCCCATCAGGATGAGAATTGAAAAGACAGTAACGTGAATGAAGTTATATGTTGCATACTGATTTGGGTATGTCACCTGAACTTGAAAAAATTATTATGTGGTACACAAGAATGATCTTCTCTGATATGCCAATATCATCCATGATCACTGGCACCTTTTTGTTTAAATAGTTCACATGTTACTATCTTTAGGCTAATTTACAATATTTCTGACGTCTAATAAGCTTACACAGTAATCAGTATCAACCTGGAGTTCGTGGCTTTCTTTAAACGAGAGTTCACTGAATTGGTACCCGAATCTTTTATGCTTTGTAAGCTTTGTAAATAACAGTCATTTATGTTAGTTTATTTGTTGGTATGTCGATATGAATATGAGCAATAAATTCTGCTCAAAACGTCATTAGATAAATTATACTGCATCACTGTGTGCTACATCAAAGAAGCAATCTAATAGGGAATTGTACTCTACCACCATGCCCAAGTTTTACCTAACATTAAAGAATGATACATTTTCACACCTCCCTTGGCATTAAAATGACATAAGGATTATCATGGTAGGTTTAAGGTAAGGACAAATTGTTTTTAAATTCACAAAGGGGAGCTTTAATGAACCGAAGTATGTACTCTTGACGGTTCATATACAATGGTCTAAAGGCTGTTTTAGGGTCAATCTTGTGACTTGTTTGTATAATGTGTTTACCTATTGGGAATGCTTACTGTCTCCCCCCTGTATTAATCGTATTATTTGGACATTATTGTTTTTCTAGCCATTTAGAGATATGCTTCACCACCCACGACTTCATTGTTCGATTAATCCTCCAAGTGTATGTGTCAACACGTACACATGTAAATTATTTCGTCTTAAAGAGTTTTACGCTATTGGTTAATGGTTCTTGAGAAGAAATAGGGTAACTTTATAGTTCATTCTAACAAATACTGAAACAACTAATCAGGTTTTTTTATTTTACCAAAAGGACTACCTTTCGAGGAAACATTGTTGAAGTAACTAGGTCGACAGTATGTTAGATACATGGTATCGTACATGTTGTTATTATATTTGAATGACAAGATGTTTTGTTATGTGCATAGCTGATTCCAACCAATGTTTAAAAAAATACGGTTTTGTCACTTTTAATTTTGGATATGTATTACAAGAATTTACTAGTTCTGCAACTGGCAATGTTACTGAGAATACTCACGAAATAAAATTGCATCGATAGACTAAATCGCTGCTATTCTTATTTTAATTTTATTTTGATATGTGGTTTCAGCTTTTAGAAATAATACGGAAAATGACCAGTTTTCATTCTTCACGCTCTACGTTACTATCTGAAGTTCAGTAGTTTGTATTGCAATCTGGAGGTTTGTGCGGATTTTTTGATATATTGATTTCAGGTTGGTATTCATCATGAATTGACAGTCAATCCATGATGAATACCAAACTGAAGTTTATATTTAAAACACCAGCTTATCATGTAGAGAATTTTAACAAAATGCCAAAAACAAATTATGGAGTTGTGTTCATTAACTCACTGTTATTGACTCATTAAATATTTATTGTCGTTGAATTTGAAATGAGGGAAATATACTATAAATATCCATTTCATTAGCTTGCATACTCTTGACCTAATACTCTAAGAAGGTTCAACGTGTTAACTGGTTTCATCTCTTTCCAAACTTGTACTTCTTCATCATAATAGTTAATCACAACCGAAATTATGGGCGAAATGTAAATTCTTTAAGTGTTTTTTAATACTTTTGTTGTTTTTCTTGACTTTCTAAAACAATGGTTATATTTACACCGAAAATATATGTCATACTGTTAGTTTTGAATAGAGTTTTTATTTTCAAAGACGTACCATGGCTCACTGGAATACACGAATCACACTTTTTCGCTGGACAATGCAAATAATATACAGAATATAACAATAATCACAGAAAACATTGGACATATTAATTTTGGAAATGATATTTACTCAGATATAAAGGTATGCTAAAGTGTAGAAAGATGTTGTAATTAGTCTGGTTTGCTTTTTCCTTATTATACAGTTTACAACAATTTGCATAATCTGGAATGATGACAATTATTATGGTTTCATTGAAGTTATCGAAAGCAAATGCATTTGTTTAATCCTTTTTGTTTTGAAACATTTCACGGTGTTTAAAAACACAAACTAGAATATAGAAGTAGTATTCATCATGGACTGACATCAGTTGGGGAACCATTGAAAATTTGGGAGCACTGGACGGCTGTTTCGTCCCAGTATCGGACTCTTCATCAGTGCGCACCCACAACCCGGCTAGGGATTGAGCTCAGGACCTTCAGGAGTCCCATACTAGGACGAAATAGCTGTCCAGTGCTCTTAGATTTTCAATGGTTCCCCAACTGGTGTCAGTTCATGATGAATACTACTTCTAAATTAAAAAATCCCCATTCATCTCAAAAATACGCAAACTGGAATGCTAAATTGTCAAAGTTGATGCGCTTACTTTAAAGTGAAATGAAATAATGGTATATAGAAGTATATGAATAAAATTGACATTTATTTTAACCTTTAAAATTTAACAAAGACACTATTCGACTGATGAAGCAAACACTTATGAGAAAATGCGGAAAAATGTTAGTTTAATAGCAAGGATTGTATTTCAAGATGTATAAAATAAGTGTTAGGAGAAAAAAAACGAAACTTACTCTAGCGTTATGCACTTTCATGCAGTAGGCATTGTCCAAATTTATTGTGTGAGGGCTAATGATATTATCTGGCTACCCAAACCTCAATAGTTAGTTTAAATTCAACCGCCACAGCAAAAAGCCCAGCTTTTACTGCCTTGTTATTGTTTTGCAAAAAGCATCAGACTGCATACATCGATATAATACAGGTAATGAAATGTACAATTAAATCAAAGGATATAATTGACATTTTTACACTAACATGTTTTGATATGAAGATGACAGTTGTGTTGCACATACGTTTTCACCTTTTTCCTTGGAATAGTATTCCGTTTCACAATTAAATGATATTCATTTCAGGGTATTATCGGGCCTGTGCTTTTCGATAAAAAAGAAATTTATGACTGGAACATGATTCCAATTAAGGATCCGTTTATGATTAACAGCGTGTATGAAAAGTGAGTAAAATAGGTTTTTAATATTTATCTAACCACGTTTTGCAATGCTTTTGATTTCGATATTTCCTAAGTTAATATTTTAAAGTTTGTGTGTGAATTCAAAGCCACTATCGCACTCTTTTTGCTATAGTCATCTTATTATATAGAAAGGTTTATAAATATAGGGATTTATCCTTTTATATTAGAAGGTTTCGAGGCTACTTTATAATTTTCATTGCGAAACGTGAAGTGTCTATTGGCTGTGAAGAACTACAAAGCATCTACTGGAACAGTGAAAAAGAAAAATTCATAATATTGTACAGTTTTTGACCATCCATAAGTTGCTACGATTGATTCATACTACCCATCTTTGATAGACAACCCTACTAAACATTAAGCATATAATTTCTTTTATTTGTTACTATGTGAAGGAAATTAAAAGTTATTGAAATGAGTTATTTTGATATACATTCATTAGCACAAATGGCAGTTGTAATTCTGGGCAGGCAGAAATGATAACACATCAAGCTGTCAGTTTTGCTTCGAAAAATTATTCCTATTTCTAAAACTAGCATTTGAACAACAGTTGCATTTGTTATTCACACTTCAAACAAAGAATAACACACTTGTATTGAACACTAAATGATTCTGCTTTGTTGTGTTTGCTTGTTTCAAAATGAATTGCATACCTTTATGCATCTGTCAGTTTACTGTGATATTACTTACATGACGGTGATTCATAATGTTCCATTTGTAAATGTTTTGTTAATGAACACTGTCAGAAGTAATCTTATAGTGTTGAGATAAATGTTTTTGTTAACTCGTAGAGATTATGATCGTGTTTGACTATTAATCGGTTTTTAAATAAACAGTTTTCACTTACCTTAACCTAATCTCAGCGAAATTTTGTGGTACAATCACAAGGCACACTTCGAGTACACAATTATAATTTACCAATCCAGCAAGTAAAGCTGTGGAAATGTTCATAGCATGGGAACATCTATAGAAAGCATTGTCGGTGTAAATATCATTTAGGTCCGCTGATGACAGTCAGAACTACATTTCTACTTAAGATGAATGTTTTAAAATATTAGCTTGGTTTGAGCGTGTATTTTCGTATAGATTCGGATTACAAATTAGTAACCGTGTTTGCCAGTGTAATAAGTTATAGGGAGCTGAAAATACCCAGAACCGAGTGAACATAATAAAAAAGCCAGTTTCAATTTCGAAGCGAAATAGAATGTACTACAATGTGTTAACGAAACAAAACGTCACGGCAAAAATTAGCCAGTCAGTATAATGAAAATGAATTGTTTTCGTGAAAGGCTTATTCCTGATAACTTAAAGTTTTTTCGAAGCAGAAATCTAAGACTGAGCTTTCAACCTAAATGTATTGTAAAACTACTGTTAAGTTGAAGCGCACAAAGCAAAGCGTATTTTTCATCCTATTAATACCTTTGTAGTTCTATTGTTTTAATTGCGCAAAACCAAGTTTGCACTTTTAATTTATCAGTCTAGACAATGTTTTAATCAGTTTCAATTTAGTTTTTAATTGTAAATTAAAATCCACTGATAAGCTTTGGGAAATCAATAAATAGTGTCTAGTTCCATTGCATGGTTATGTAGTAGTTAGGTTCTTTGTGTACCTTCACTGCTCGGAGTTCACTAAAGGCAGATTATATTTTTCAGGAGTAAACAGAACATTTACCAAGTAAACTTTGACCTTCAGCATTTTTTTAACAAATATTAATCCGTGGTTTAAACTGTTGCTAACGTTACCTGAGACCTCACAAGCAATAAATCGTTTCATTTTGTACAACATTTTCTGAAGCGAACAAAATCTGGTAGAAAGTAAATGGCCAATACATGGACGCATTTATAATGGAATATTCATTATCAAAGAGCTCGGAGATACATTCATTCATCCTGAAAGTTTTGCGCGGGTGAGAAAAAAACATTTTTCTGTTAATTGTTCTTGTGTAGAATTACTGCATTAGGTTTCGAGTTAATATGCAGTTGGTTATTCGAGAAAGTAATTTAAAAAAAGCTATCAGCTATGTGGCTTTTAGTTGATTTCCGATTTGTCTGATACTATGTACATTATTTCCAACTTTTTGTAAATCTAATAGCAAAATGCTGTTTCATATTTACTGCGTTTAGTAAGCTGATTTCACACTTTAATATCACAAACATCTGACTTCGGAAAATACAAATTCCCTCCCCTACCTGTTCATAGGAATATTTATTTCCACCAATAAGGGGAAACAGCAGATCATAGAGTTGTGTAATTTCAAATTGGTATCTTTTTATTTACCTATGTTCCTCAGATAGAAATGGTATATTTATTGCACGAATTGACTCCAATAATTTAAGTATCGGTGTATCTAGTGTATATATTCAAGAAATAATCCTGAGATGCACAGTGAATGTTTAGTTCTTATTCAATGATGAAATTTGACAACAGAGGGATAAACAGGCAAACAGACAAAATCAACTTAGAACCTCACATAAAAGTGCATCACTGCAAGTTGCCACATTGGACATGAGCATACAAAGAACAAAGGGCTAGGAAAAGAGTAATGTTAAAGGAGACAAAAGTTAATGGGTGAGGAGAGAATGTAAAAATGAAGTTGAAAATGTTCAAACCTCACAGGATAAGAAAGAGTAAATACATCTGTAAAATTGTGACCAGTTTTCAGCCACATTGCTGAGGATCTCTAACCATTGATTCCTGACCTCGTAAAGACTCGAACTAGGCAGTCCAAACTTCATAATACGGCTGAAAACAGCAGTGAGCGACTCCAACGGGTGATCCTAAATATTGATCTAACCACTCTGAGCCTTCTGCCAACGGTATACACATCGAGGTAAGTATTAGCTCGGCATGCACAACACATCCCATCCTCCTCACTAGGTTAAAGTTCACAGTCTTGTCGAGTAACTTACCTACCTTGCCTAATATGTTTCACCGTACATGAGCAATGCTCTGAAAATACCTGTGATCAGTACTCTGTAGTCCACCTCTACCGAACATGTTTCACTGCTGCGTGACAGGACAAACTGGACTGCAGTGCACTAAAATCGTCCTTTTATGGATGGTCCTGCAGTCACCTGTTTGCATTTGAGTTGAGATTTCCTCAGACACTAACTCATTTGGGCTGAAGCAGCTCCTCGGGTAAATGAACTTCAGTCTGTGTCTTTAAACTTGGATGAACTGTACACCATTCGCGAAGTACCATATTTCATTTGACAAGTGCGAAACTCACGCCAGCGTATATACTCAGATTTTATCTCAAGGCGTTCCGAAAACTGCATTTTGTCAGGATTGCCTAACAAGGCAATATCACTGTCTTACTTCAAGTCAACTAGGTGCAATCCCAAGGGTAAGTCAACCCTTGCAAAGTTAAAGATAACTAGGTTTATTTAGTTTATGATGTCTTGAACGAATTTTAAACAGAGACGGTGATTGTGGAGATCTCTGCTGGACACCAAAGGTTATCATTACTTTGAGTGATAAATCCTCATAGGCTCTTCCCGGAGTCCGTTAGTCAGAGCTGAAATCCTGAATTGGTACTTGGTTTGGATCCCCTCAACAGTCAAACACTGCGATAATATCTCCCCATTAACAGGTTCGAATGACATCTTCAGACTAAGAAATAAGGCGAGTATCAGGTGCCATTAAGTATGCATCTGTACCATGACCTGACAAAGGGTGGAGATTTGATCGATTCAATCTTATCCAGGTCTGTAGCCTGACTTATTCCCTTGAGTTTACTGTTCTAGAGCTGGATTTCGGCATCGTACAGCTATGGACATGAAGATCTCAAATACAATGTTAGTCAAATTAATTCCTCTATGATAATCGCAATAAGACGTTTCTTCTTTCCTATAGACTGGATTGATCAGTGAAGTAAATCAGTTTGACTGGACTACTTCTGATTTTCATACGTAACGCACTTCTGTCTCTCTATTCAGCAATTTCCAATAGCTCTTCTTAAAAAAATCTTGTAGAAAACTATCAGCGTTTGCTGCCTTGGATTGTTTCAGCTTTGAAAAAGCATCCTTAGCTGAGTGACTGACATTGACATCCTGGATGTTGAGTAGTTGAAGGGTCTACTGTGGGCAAGACTAATCGTGCTCCGAAGTTTTCCACCTTACATTCTAGTTGTATGTCCTGAGAAGTTATGGGGCACCCCATAGTATTAAATGATGGTCTCACCTTCATCATCACGTTCCTGCCACTATTTTTAATGAGCGTGAATGCCTATCTGGTATCAATTAATACTGACGCCTTCATTTCTCCTTCATCACCCATCACTGCTGCCAATCATTTGCGAAGACTCGTGATCAATTTATGTCTAAGTTGCTTTCGCTCTTCCTCGTGATCAGAGCCAGCTGGAGTCAGTCTTCTCGAATCAGTCAGTTTAGAGAACCTTGTGGAAACCCAATTAAGTTTGCTAACCTGCGGGTCAAGGTTACCAACTGTCTTTGCCGCCATTCCTAGAGCAGACTGAAATTTACACCAAGGTTCATCAATCTATGTATATTGTTGGCTTTATATTGGCTGATGCCGAGTTGGGATGTTGTTTTTCCTTATGGTTGTGGTTGGTGCTGGGTAGGAACAAGTGATTGTCAGAATAAAATTGTGAGAGACAATCGTCGTTGGGATGAGATTTCGCAGATACCTCCAAGGTACCTTTCCCATTGACTCACTTCTCTCACTTAAGCGTTGAAGTCTCCTGTTATTTTCAGCCTATATCTGAACGTTTCGCCAAATGTAGCAACATTGATGGCTTTTGATAGAATTCGTCATTTCTATCATCCAAACTGCAGTTGGTTGGCACTTTAGCGGAGATTACAAATAAGTATCGGTTGGTCTGAAGGCCGATCCTAGTTTTTACAGGTTCATTCAGTCGAACAGCAAACAGATGGCCGTTGATTAGTATCCGGTCGAGAATCACACTCATTGCTCTACAACCTAATGTTATGCCTATGCTGGCGAATCCACTAGATCTAACTAGTGAATCTCCCTAAAGTTGTAAAGTCTGAATGTTCACCTCACTGGATGGGGGAGGCCAAGTTAATAACAGAACACAGGTCTTTTATAGGTGTCACAGAAAAAAACGTACATACATGGCTCAGTTTACTAGAGCTCTAGGAAGAGATGGCTGCTTTCTGGTTTGAAATAGGGTTCGGATGCTGAAGGATCCAAATTGAAACCAACAGCGGGGTCTTAGGAGGCTAAAGAATGGTGTTCCGATGGCTTCGGATCGTTGGCAGTGAGAGGTCGAGGTAATTGTAAATGGCTTAATATTGGTATCAAGAGCTGAAGGCAAATGAGGAGACGGAGGCAAGGAGGATAGATTGTGTTTAACTCGGTTTCACATACTAATAAAAAAGTCAGGCGGCTACTCACTCAGCACAAGTTGTTTCTGTTAGATTCATAGAAGAGGAAAATAAAACGATTTGCTTGGCCGCAGAGCCTATGGTACATCTACTTGAGGCCTGTCACACACAGGCATTTTTAGGATTGTTGGATTGAGTTTTGATTGTGCTAATGAAGGAAAGTAAAGGGCCATACTACCGATGCCGGAATACCGTTAGGTAGGAAGAAGTGCATTACTTTTAGAATGAGCCTTTTCTAATTCCCTTTCCCGTAAGGAATGTAGCACCAACATGATACTGCTGGTCATTCATTGCGAACACTTTATTGGTATCACAACCTCCTTGAGCTAGCAGTATGTATTTTTCGTATTCATAGCGTGGCCATTTACGTTATGGTGGTGATTGTTTATTGTCTTACCAGACAGACAGACAAACAAAATTAACGTAGAACCTCGCACACAAGTGCACTGGCTCAGGTTGCCGTACTTCACAGTAATATACAAACAACTGGCAGAAAAGAGTGATGTCAAGGTAGACAGACTGTGTGACCGAATAAACAATTTGAAGATGAAGGTTAGCGCAAATATTCAGTCTTAAGAGGAAGTTAAAGAGTGAGTACATTTGCTCCACTGTGACTGATTTTCAGCACCGTCACCAAGAGTTCCCTATCACTGATTTCTATTGTCTCAAAGACCCCAGCTAGGTTGTCTTCATCTCCCTATACGACTCAGATCAACATCTAGAGACTTCGTGAACCAGTTTCAAGTCTCGGTCTAGCTAACAGAGCTTTCTTGCATGGTTAAGAATGGATACTCAACCTTACGTTTTAACGAACTTTTGTAAAACAAGCCCTATGTGACAGAACACAGAATTTTGAACCTGAAATTCAAGGGTGATACATTTTTTAATGTTCTACAAGCTCGTTTGTAGAAGTCAGTCTGAACAACATCTCTTGGTGCATTTCTGCGCCTTTTCCCTTGCACGTCCGCGTTTATCGAAACATTCCACTGTTTGTAACATCTATGTGTTTACATAAACTTATTTGCTATAGTAGTAGTGGGCTATACCAGCAAGACAATGTTGAGAAATGTTCTTGAACATTTACAGAAATAGCTATGGTAAAATTCAAATCAATAGACGGTTTTATTCTGAAACTTATCATTGTGTCCAATCACGTAGCGTCTATATATTTTATCAGATCTGTTAGAGAAGGTGAAACTAAGCCATTTCAATTACGCCTTTTTAGTCAGCAGAAGCTTTAGCATTTCACAAGAACTTAGTATATTTAAAAGTCTTGTTAACTTTCTTCCCATACCACGGCCTCAGTTTCATGACTGTATGACTTCGCTAAATTGTTTTCTTTCCACTCTACCTCCATTACCTATGTTACAACCCTACTTTGCTGATCTACATCTTTCCTACATTTTTAAAATAATATTTTTGTTCGCTAGCCACATTTTTGTAGAAACAAGCACCTGTGAACTATGTTTACCGTATTATGTCTACGTGTTTTTTGTTACATAAGAATGACTATCTCCTGTTCGATCCACATTTTATT